CGCGAACCCCCGTCGAGCCCCTTGCATAGGTCCCCGTAGGGGTCATGAACCCACGAGGACCCCCCCATGGAGCCAAAAAGCCTTTTTCGAGCTGCTCTTAGGTTTTCCGCGTCCCCCTCAGTGAAGGGCCGGCCATTTAGTAGGGGTTCAGTGATGCTCTTCGGTCATGGCGTAACCAGAACAATCTCTGTGAGAAATCAACATAAGGGTCTCCCTTCTTTATGGCCATCCACTCAGGGCCGAGAGACTGAGGGGGACCGCCAGAACTCCACCGAAGGAGTTCCCCGAAGATTCCTCGAACGATGAGCCCGATATGGAGACATCATGACTGATGAACTCAGGGGGCCCGCGCGGGGGAAATCGGCGCTCCGGGCGTCCGCGGACTAAGAATGGTGCCGACCTCTGCGCTAGGAGGCGAACTATTCGTTCCTTTGGAATTTCTCAGCAGAGCGCTGAGCAGCGCGGAAGCTCCCTACGATCCGATCCGGATCTGGGGTCGGGTAACATACACCGGACGAGTTCGCCAGCTGCAACGGAGACATGCCTCGCGGTTCAATTCTATCACATTAGATTCCAAAGAGCCCGACGGATTTCCCTGCTGTGTATGCAATTGACACAACTTCTCTGCATTGTCTCCGCGTCGTCAATCGCTTAGCATCTGCCATGAATTGTGTGACTCGCCGATTTCCTGGCGAAACGTGACAAGCGCTCCCTTGACAGCCAATCCCCTAGAAGCTGAGCGTCAAGAGCTCGGATCCTCTCATCGCTGGAATCGGGAAGAAGTTACTCGCAATTCTTCCGCACCTAAATCGAATGGCAACTCTTACTTTGCTGGAATCGCGATTATATTTCCATCAGTTGAATCTCTGGTGCTCTCGATACAAAGAATTAACGGATTCTTGGTATATCTTCGATCGGACGCTTCCTTTCGTACCATGCTTTTAGTCACCGAATTTCTCGCTTCGGACCCTTCCAGCAACGTGCATCAGCTAGATCTAGTCTGGTTAGACGTAAGCGAGAGGCATGCATCCGAGCCCGGGAGGCAATGACTCCGACCGAGCGAACGGGATGAACTCCAATTCGTAAGTGTCCAGTCAGGCTTGCGAAAGACTTCTTAGATAACATTCTGGAGTCGGTTCCTCACCTCTCTCACGCTTCGTGGAGGTTCCCGATTCTCGGCACTGTCTAAATAAATGTCTCGCTCCAGGGCGGGAGAGGACGGATACCAATCATCAATTATCTTCATTCGTCTACCGTTCCGGATCGTGTGCATCTTAGGGTCGACTCGGGCAAGAGGCGAATTTGAGCCTCGTCTCGAGACTGACCTACGCATTCACTGGAGGAGGATCCGATATCCTTAGAAACTCATGAGAGCGATTCCAATTCTAAAGACAGCGACGACTCCGGTCCTGGAAACTCTTTTGGAGCGAGATGCCGACTCGTAAGACCAGGATCTCAATCAGCATTCATGTGTCCCCGACAGAACACAAGATATAAAGGAATTATTCCGGGAGTCCTTGATTCGTAGTTGCGAATTGGGAAGATCGGCTTCAGAGAAAACTCCGCGATTGTCGCGCCAGCGCCCCGACGAATTTAAACCGCGCACACTCGAGAAAGAGGTTAGAAGCACAGTTTTCGAGATTTCTTTTGAACCTGCCTCTTCTCTTGAGAAAGTCCGTTCGATGTCATTTCATTGCCTTGCGCTTCAGCCATATTCGAACCAGAGCGAAAACGCCAGAGGCCGACCTATGCACGGAGTGAAAGCAAACTCAGCGGGGCCGGCCGAACAGATATTTTTCAGCTGAAGGTTTGCCGCACGGGAACTGCTCGGAATTTCACAGACCGGACGACAGGACAATGAGACTGATTCCAAATGAGCTCTGACGATATCGCCTCCTGCGAGAAAATTCCTCCATGTCCCCTCTACCGCGCGACTTTTCACGTGCTGATGCGGCTCCACCGATGCTGCCAACACGATTACTTCAAGAACAAACAGGAGACGAGTTACCTCTTCGAACTGTCGTACAGAATCTAGTGCGACACAGAAGAGGCGGGTCGACCTCATTTGAATAGAATCCCCATGAGCGAAGCAATCATCAACGCTGCGTTTCTGGAGTCGCGGTGATCGACGGCGAGAGAAATTTTCACTGAGACAATTCCGAGCTCTTCTCGGAGATATATTCACTGCTGAATCAACGAGCGCCCTTGAGACACAGGGAGTCCTCGTTCAATCAGAGGGCGTTGATGGACCTCGTGAGAGGACCAGATCGCCGATTTCGCAACTCCGATGACGACCCAAACCCACCACGAGATCGTTCGCGGCGAGTTTCCGATGCGTGACCGATCAAAGCTTGCACCCAACATCCCTCGCACCTGAAAAGAGAAATTCCTGGAAAGAGAGTTATTCCTCGTCAAGAGAGAGCCCGGTCAGGTGAGAACGGGCTAATCTTTCTTGAATACGATATCAGAAGTCTTTCACCGAAGTTTCGAGTCCGCTTATCGCATTCCGCACAGAGAAGCCCGCGGAAACCTTGATCAGCAGCTCTGCGAGACCTTCTCGAGTTTCTCGTGATATGATTTCTTGTCCGGACGAATGACCCCATGGTTAGCTCATGTCAGTGATTTTCTCACGAGGATTTCAGGACCGTCGACGTGGTCCTGAAAGGCGTTTGTTGCCGAGCTGCAAAGTTCCCCCAAGCGATGTAATCTCCAGAATTTTAGCAATTCTCCCACCATGAAAGGGTCAAGCGACCCGTGAAATTTCGAAACTTATCATCAGCTGATAATCTCAACCGGTAAGTTGCAGGCCCGGTACAGGTTGCAGAAACTCATTGTAATAGACTGCACGGACCGGACACGAAATTCCCTGTTTGTTCAGCGGCTATCCGACCACCGCCGAGAACTTTTGCAGACGACGTCGTGTCTTCCTAAAAAATAAGCGCTCTGGGGTGCTGAGAATCGATGTGGTCACACTCTTTCATAGAAGTCAGTGACACGAGTCCTCGCGAACCCCATTCCCCGCTCGAAAGTTCCACTGATGTCATGAGAGATGATGGAATTCCCCCTGAGAGATGCGCGATCTCGAGCCGCCACTCAATGTTGTCCATCGAAAAACATCCAGCGAAGAGGGATCTAGCGCAAGAACGAAGACTCCATGCTTCAATAGAAAGTGATGCGCAGCTCTCAGTCTTGATCGGCGTTCACTGTTCTTTCGTCAAGGGTCTATTAGCCAAGATTCATGCCATCGAAACCCGAGCCTTACCCAGAAATATACGGAAACCACGTTCCTCTCCCTAAATCGATATTTATGTAATGAGCGACCTTTACGTATTACCCGATAGGCTCCGAATACAATAGCTAGATGTTTTCCTTACACATCACTTCAGTTGCGCTATTCAAGGTTCCCCTCGAGGCAGCGTACCTTCAAGGTCTCGCGGTCGTTCGCATTTGACATCAGCGATCGAAGAAGGAAAAGGCAGACTACAGATTCCCTGAGTGTTGGATCCGTTCGCCGAGGAGATGTGATACTCTCTCAGTCTTACTAAGAATCTTGGGCTGTCGCCAGCCGGATCCCTTCCCGTGTCTCCTCACGGAATAGCTGCCCTGGGCTTGACTCATCCGAGAACTTGAGCCTTCGGACTGGTCCTTGGGAGCAATACCTAATGGGAATGGGCAAAACAAGGGAAGCTTCAAGCTCGGCCATGTGATCCGGCCCGGATAATATTTTTGAGCATTGTAGGGCTAACACGGGTCACCGCCGCGAGTGCCGGGTCGTGAGGAGAAGGCTATCGAGCTTCTTCGGCCGCATTCACGGATCTGGGAGACCGTCGTCTACGAGCCCACATGATTCTAGTGGCTTCCAGCGTAATCTCCGCAGACTTTAGCGTGTAGAACAACAGTTTCCGAATGACTCGTACGCAAGAAATTCCCAAGTTGAACCCCTTAATTAGATCGCCAGGAGAACCTTTCCTCCCGAATTTTCCCGCTTCCCATGAGGATTTGATGGCCAACGAGCTACGTGCCGGGATGGTATCAAAATAGCGTCGAAAAGGGGCTTGTCAATAAGCTGATACTGTGCATTGGGTTCACAGGTTTTTTCCGTCTAGTTCGAGCCAAACAACCAGCAGACACGCTGGCTGTTAAGAAGTCTGGCAACGAAACTGAATGCGTCTCCTCGCGAGGTCAAAGGTCCGCAGGTGTCATCTTCCACCCACACCTCTCGTCCTATTTAGTTTCCGACCCCAAAGATTGGAACGTCCGGCATTGTACCTATGAGTGGTTTATCCACTTCCGGCAGCGGCTGTCACAATAGGTTTAACAAGGTGCTATGATGTAACGTCTCGACATTGTTATCGCCCGGATAGCAACCTTGACTCGAAGCAAGACGCCTGAGGATCTATTTTTCGTAGTCTTTCGCTTGGCAGCTCCTGGAAATACGCCGCTAGCTCATCATAAGCGGTCCCGGGAAAAGGCTTTGACCATTGCGGAAATTGATAAGCTCAAACATGTTCTACCCGTTTTGCCAGGTGTCGTCGATAAGTCTGTTGAAACTCTTACGCTCGAGGCGACCTTTCATCAATTGTTGAGACTTTGAGCTCATCTCCGCTGAAATCAGCGACTCTTTGTCGCATCATGTGCGCATTCTGAAATACCCCGACAGGTCAATGCGGGGCATTGTAGCCACCGGTGATTTCATTCAAGTTCATCCTCCTGCAGATCCTCCACTTTACGGTGATGGGGCGCTAACAGGGCCGTCTCCGACAAACTCTTCAGTCTCTTCGAGAATTCTATTACAGTCGCCCAGCTATCATCCGTGAAGAAGCATGGAGTGGAACAGGGCAAAGCGAAATCTCTTCGTCAATGAATGGCTGGAATATTCCGTTACGTCGGCGTCTCGGCCGTCGCTGTCTCGTGCGAGCCGACGCGGAATTCTTCCTTTTAGTATGCCTTCTCCTCCATTTTCATTGCAAAGCATTCCGAGGGTTTGAGATTTCTCGACGACAGCTTCCGCACCAGTGCAGACAAACCCGTAGCTAAAAAAGAGAGCCTCGTCTCTGGTGAAAACTTCGAGATTCAGTAGATCGAATGAACATCGTTGGGTGAGTTTGATTTGCTGCTCAGCTGAATTCTGGGGATTTCATCCCCATGGTCGCCTCGAGCGGGCACGTGATCGTGAATATCACGTGGAGCGGCTATATCCATTCAGACATCCGTAATCAAGCCTGATCACAGCCCTCCCCGCAACGCATTTGAGGTTTCGCTAGACGACTGTCACTCGCTCGACGGGGAGTCGGGGTTCGAGCCTCGAACTCTCACTTATCGTGGGCTAGACGATGGCGCTAGTGGAGACGTTCCGAAACAACTCTAGGAATCGCCGCGAGAAGCTTTCGAAACCAGCTATTCCCCTTGGAGCTTAGTTGAAGAAGCCCGGAACGTTCACGGGGCTCGAATAGAATCGCGAGTTCGACGAGTCAGAATAACCGAGTGACAGAAATTTCATACCATCCTCGAAATATACCCGCCCGGTTTTCGGCAGGGCGATGAGCGATGAGTCAAGTTCTCCCAGTCGGACAACTTGCGTCGAGACAATAGGGTGCACGCCTCTACCTGACAAAATACGTCTGTGCTCCACGACTTTGTTAGAACCCTGAAGTTGACGAGCTCGATCGATTAGGGGCCATTGGCACCGATCGTTGAAATTGACATCGTGACCAAACCCTTGTGTTGACTTCAAGAGGCGTCTCCGGGGGTTGTGGGGGATATATACGAGCTGCTGGCCCATTGTTCATGAGCTCATCATAGCCGGAGCTCTCCGATTCCGCTCAATGAACAGGCGAGGGCGGGAAATTGATTTGTTATTCCTCAAGTTCCCGAACACCTTGCTAGCGAGTGTCCTGACTCAGGTCGGTTCCTTCTCCCGAACGACTGGGTTCCCTCTAGAAAGCACTTTGAGTGGTACTCCGGCCAATCAAGCCACGATTATTCCGGGATACTACTACGCAGATGTCGGATTTCGGATGCGTATTCCGCTGTATCGATTCTGATCGAGGCTCTCTCTCCAAATACATACATCTCCCATTGATTTCGTCCGCGCGACAGCTGGTTTGAAGGCGTATGGAAAATTTCTCAAACGTGTCAATCTAGCCCTCCAACAAGGGAATTGGAAACGAAGCACCGCTGGTAGGTGCTTGAGAAAATTCGACATATTCATGCTCGAATCAATCCCGGAGGGAAATGCATGCGTTGCCTAATCAGTGGAGGAATGAATATTGAGAAATGCGCTTCTGCAGGCAGGGCTTATTTGCGTGAGCGACATCGAACCGGTTGCAACGAACCAGTTGTATTGACGAGTCGAGCTCATAACGGCGCAATCCGTTCATGTAAGCTCCGAGCCTCCGGGGTGTCGCTCAGTTTCTGTGGGGGTCGGAAGAAAGCAAATAGCAGATCCCTGACAAAAATGCAGCCATTGCAGACTGAAATGTCTAGTTCTCCTCTTTTCTCCCCACTTATCGCTCAGCCACTCTGACAGCTTTCATCCGCCTCGATACTGGTACACTTCTCTGTCTATCCCCACTTTGCCGTACGACGCGACCTTTTAGCCCGCGGCTCGATTGCTCCTCCGATCTTCTCTTGTGTAGAGCTCTGTTTTCTTCCGCTAGATCTGAGACCTTCCGCCTAGAGCTCGTCTTCCGTAAAGAGACCTTGCAACTCTGGGATCTCTTCCAGATTGAGCGTAATCTTTCAACCGATTCCGGAAAGGTCACGGTGCGTGCGACGTCTAAAGTTCCCGGTACCGGCATCCCGGGCTGAATTTTTGCGAGCACAAGCGGTTCCGGAACATCGTCGAGTTTATCCGAAATAATTACGGAGTCAGTCAAATCGGGTCGGAACAGCGTGTGAACGACAAGTTAAAGACAGGGATCGGAAACAAACGGCGATTGAGTGGGGGACCTCTTGAAGACGAGGCCTCTGGGTGAGGGTTACGCGTGCTCTTTCCCTTGACAGCAACCCCACCGCGGCTAAAAGCTTCCGTAGAGAGAGAGTTTCCCACACTCGACCGCGTGCTCTAACCGGCGCTACTGAAGTGAAGTCCGAGTTCAAAGCAGCTGGAAAACGTCGCGGACACCATCTAATCTCAACTTTCGGCAAGTCCCCACTGGCTGAACGGTAAGTGAAATCGGATTTTCTGAACGAGCTCCTCCCGAGTGTTAGATCCTCCGAAACTTTCTGGAGGAACGTAGACGGACTGTTGGGCGAGACTTCCCAGCAGACTCGACCACTGATATAAAAACGTCTCCTATGTGAATGGGGAGGGTGGCTTTTCACGTCGGAATTGGACTATCGATTTTTAATGCTCTCTTGATGGTCGCAGTCGACTCGTTCATGAGATCGTATGCATATGCCTTCCTGGCTCCTCTGAGATCCTGATCAGACAACTGGTTGGCTGGAGACCCGGAAAGACCCTACTGATTTCGCTTGGCCACTGAGATGGGGTGCGGGGAAGAACCTGTCAAAAGGAGATTCGCTCCGTCCAGCCACCAGTTTTTTTCCTGGTAGCTGAAGACAATCTCGTCAGTCGTCAGTTACGTCCGAACACGAACGAAGAACTCGCGACATAAAGGCCTACCACCACCCATCACCGGTTCTTTCCCAATCAGCAAGCATCCTCTGCTGACGGGATAGTTTCATCAAGCAGTCATCTCGGGAATAGTGATGGACAATGAACGGGGTATAAAGTGAAAAAAATTGTCGGTACGACTACACCGACCATTCGATGCCCATGAACATTTCACTGTCCGCCGATGTCTCGCAAAGTGCCGGTGGACATCGGAATGCTACCACAACTTATCCGTTCGTTTTGTATGGAGACTCTTCCATTCTTCCTGTCGCGGGGTCTCTGATCCTCATTGGCAGATGGTCAGGGAAGTAGGCGGTTCGAGATCCCGGCAACGATCGGGGAAGGCCGTGGATGCCTAGGCGATTCACAAAGCTCGCAGACCGGTAGCCTCCAGTCGAAAGTCCATTAGGGGCCCTAAAGTCGTCAAAATCTGATCCCGAAGACAGACGCGCTCCTGTTTTCCGAATTCCGGACCGGGACTCCATCGTCAGAAGCTAGAAGACCTGTCAAATCCTCCCAAAAGGCCCCCCATGAGCGGGGCTCTATCGCTGTCGATGGAGCCGACGCAATTCGAGTCGTCTCTCTGGGCGCTCCGGCTCGACTTCAGTGTGTCTGAAAACACGGAGAAGTTCGGATTTGTATCAGAATCGGGGAACAGCCCTCACGTACGTTGACGCAATAGAATGTTGCGGAAATATATCTCATTCTTCGAATTCACGCAAAAACAGAATCCATCGGATTCTGTTTCCGTTGATTCCGCTCGGCGAAGAATCGCCCCTACCCCCTACTCAAGCGCGGACGGCTCTCAGAGTCCTCATAATGTGGTGTAAGACACGATTGCAACACACAGGATATTTGCCCACCGGCAGTAATAGGCGAGACAGTTCCATTACCTAGACTGCTCGTTCTAGCGCCGATTCGATATGTCGGGTAAATCCGCCAGGCTCATGAGACAATGCGACTGTCAGATCCACCCACGTATTTACGTACACTGACAACTATACTGTCTGTGCGCAGCTATCCCTCGTCCGGGCAATATCGCTCCCGCGGTCATTCATTTCCTCCATGACCGGGATACATACAGCAGCGATATTCGTCAATCACTCGACGGGATTTCGGCGATGACGGAGATTACCGCAGCCTGTGTGTTTGCATTCTCGGTGAAACTTCATCTCTCACGTTTTTTCTTCACGGAAACCCTCCCCCATCAGAAAAACACTGATTGAGTGAGAAGAAGAGCATCTCACGGAAGGCTGGAGCTTGTGTGCCAGTCTCGAACGAGTTCTAGCATTGTCTGTGCATTCCATTCGCGGGGGGACTCCGAAATGGCAAAGCATAGTAAGTCTGTATTCAGGAGAAATGTCGGAATGAATTTTTCTTCTCAATTGAGTGGAGGACTCGTGAAACCGGATCCATTGTGCCATCACCTACTCGCAAGGTCGCAGAATAAATCCAGAGCTGACTGCGACCTTGTCCTCGTAGACGATATCGAGTTAGTCCGGTATGCCTTGTTGTATAGGGATTCCAACACTGGATTTTCTCGCTTTCCGATTGTCAGGGACACAAAGAATGCACTTGTTGACACGTGTTTTTCAACGGCCCGGCACTTATGGGCTTCTCGTGAGATATTTGTTCGAATGCGCTCTTGCGAGTCGGCCCCGTAGTTGCGACAATGAAAAATGCTTCTCAAGGAGCGGCAATATCTTCGCACCGACAGCACATCGTTATATATGTATGTATACGAGCTGCGAGAACGAGGCGTATGTACCCATCTTTCCTCGAATCGATTCAGGCAGGATAGGGGGGATTCCCAGAAGAGGAGTGAATTAATTACCGAATTACACCGGGCAGAGTCTCTCCAACTTGAAAGCCGAAAATCGCAGTTGTCAAGATGATTGGCGGAATCTCATTAGATCCCAGCTAGGGATAAACTCTCTGCCGGAAGCCATCCGTCTCTTGAGGTTCTATCCTGTGGGTCTGCGGAAGGTTTTGCGAGTAAAACCTCTGTCGCCGACTATCAATTAGCTAAGGCCGCGATATGTTCCGGTTTGCATCATCGACGCAGAGTCCGAAGCAATGCGTTGCCAGAAGAATGGGAAATTATTGCGTGATCGGTCTTCGAACTTGACGCTGTGACGTTTCGGGCTTAGGGACAGAAAAATTCCATCCATGAGGAGATCAAAATACCGCGAGTGATAGTCCACAAGACGAATGTTAAGCAATGGACATCTCGGGGAATGCCGCGCGAGACGCGAGAGTATTTCGATGCCCCGCGGCTCTCCACGAAGTTTTCAAGGGAGGAGGGGGGGGGGTCCCGCGCGTCATGCCATCGTCGTCATCACAACCACTTTCAGGAGTATCGAGTTACTCGGGAATTTTGATCGATCGGCTCCCTTCGAGACGCTGTGTAAACTTCCCGAGAACCATCCTAGAAAATGCTAATTTGAGGTGGTCTCTTCACGTATACCAAACCAGACAAGCAGGTGATTCCGATCTATACCATGCGCATCGCTCAAGAATGTGTTGCCGGAACGGTCTGACGTTTTTTGCGCGAATCGTATAATGAGATGGAATATACTCCTTCCCTGGCCCCAATTCAGGCGTCTCTCTCTCGAGCGAGAGCGGCTCATCCAGTGCGTCCTCGAACAATCAACACGTCTGACCACGAGGACTAGACTTGCGGCTGGATGATTACGGCTGTTGCCTCGATCGCGGCCCCGGGCAATTCTTGAGGGTCGCTGCTTCGGGAGTTGTCCTCGACATCGAGGCTGGTAATGGAATTTGACGGCATCTGCGAACGGCTGTCCGGAACAGGTTGTGAAGAGCGTATTTGTGTCGACTTGTTAGCGATCGGGCTCGGTTTCCGACAAAAGAAAGACAGCGGGTGTTGATCTGACCTGCACAGCTACAATCGGGAAGGCGTCGACTTATTTCTCGCCGAGCTACGGAGCAGAGTCGCCCCTCGGATGATCGATCCTTGTGCGAATGGCACATCTCGGCGGATCCGTGGCGAGCCGGCCGGTCTCGATTCTAATTATGGAATTGACAAGTTACGATTCGAGGATTCGGGCAGAGTCTAGAGCTCCCACCCTAATGAGCTGCACTAAGTTCACGGTCTCCCGAGACGTTATCTGCTGAGCCCGGATGACGATAGTCAATCCTTTTCGTCGCATTAAAGCGGACCACCTATTCGGCAGGGGCGTAAAGCCAACTCCTTGAAGTTCATCCAACGAGCTCCATTGTGGTTTACGTACGCTTGGGAAGCGTGCGGGGTCCCTCGGGAGAAGCAGCAGAAAGTCCCGCCGCGAGGAAATAGGAGCATGTGATTTGTTGTTGGACGGCTGCTGGTGCTCTAGATATTATCGGAACCGGTCGCTTCAGTCACCGTGTCCGCGCCGCGTCGGCTTCGCGTCGCGGCCGTGGTCAGTGAGCGGCATTCAAATAATTCTCAATTCCGAGCGGTGCAAAATGTCGAGTCGCTTCATCTGGACTCAGCGAATCATTTGAGCTCCGCCTTCGTTTCTCGTCAGCTAATATCCGCTAGGGCTTTTGATTCTGTAGCTATTCACTCGTGAGAGTGATTTTTTCTTTTCAATACGCAACATGTTCCTCTCGGAACATGCTCGATAGAAACCCCGCATTCCGTGTACTCATCGTGTGGGTCCCATTTTGAATGAGACGCTCGATTCCTGCAGCCTTCGCCGGATCAAGCCTTCGCCCATCTGAGTGGGACGTTTGCAAATCCTCATCAGACTCTCGTATAGGTTCTGCGCTGGAGTCTCAACCGATTTTATGCGAAGAGCGGAGCGCGTGGGGTTCATCTCTGCATGGCTGTAACGGCAGCCGCTGCGACCGATCACGGCTCTTCGGAACTTGCGATCGGGACATCATAACGATTTTCAGCGATTTCACTTCCGCTGATGTTTACACCATTCCCGTTCGGAGCACCGCGCAACAATCGATCGCATGAATATTATCCGAAACGCTCTGCACTGCCACGCGAATTCTCGGGGCATCGATTCCTCTGGATTGTGTTTATCTTCCATCTCAAGTGATTCGCTTGCGTCAGAGAGCGTTTGCAGGAAAACAACTCCGTCGGTGAGAGCCGCGTAGTAGAGTTCAGTCGGGACTCGTCGACGGAACGTCCGAGAAACTCTCCGAAGAGATTAGAATTCGAGATATCTGATTCATCGTCGCCGAGTACGAGCCCGTAGTAGTCCCGCCGAATGGAAGTCGCACCTGAATTATTGACTAAGGAATCCTTGACTGACTGAAAAAGACGTGTGTAGGGGTTTGGAATTCTGAAGCGATTACTCCGTCGACGTCGTTGTCGATCTGACCATACGAAGTATGCAACGACGTTCCCCGATCATGACCATGGTTCGTTTCGATGTGAGATCGCGACGCCGACTCCTTTCCTTCAGGGAGTCCCCGAGAAACTCTGGAGTTGTCCCTTCTGTGTCCCGCGTCACTCGGAGAGATTTATCTTTCTTCCCAGAGACAGAGACTATGGTCGCGGGGCGGCTGAAGTCCGCAATCAATCCTCCCC